TATAATTGTTCCTCTCCTTCTGAGTCAGAAATACTCAGTTCCTAAAGGCATGTGATTTTATAGTTAAAGGTCAACTGTCACTGATGAAATAAATGAAGAGTCATCATGGTTTTTTCTTCCTTCCTCCCTCCTTCTCTCTTCTATTTCTTTCTTTCACATTGAAGTTACAGAAAGAGAGTGGAAGCCCTAGTTCCTCCCAGACATCAGGCCCTGTCTCTCTCCTGTAATGTGGTTGGCAGGCTAAGAGTTAAGTTTTGAACACTTATCATATGTTGGGATTTCCCTGGTGGTTCAGATGGTAAAGAATCTGCCTGCAATGCAGCAGAACTGGGTTCAATCCCTGGATTGGAAAGATCACCTGGAGAAGGGAATGGCAACCCACTCCAGTATTCTTGCTTGGAGAATTACATGGACAGAGGAGCCTGGTGGGCTACAGTCCATGGGGTCTCAAAGAGTTGGTCGCAACTGAGGACTAACACTATCATATGTTAAGCTCTGGGCTGAGGGCTTTACACGGATTTGATCAGGAACATCTCACCACAACCTTCTGACGCAGACAGTGTTGTTTCCGTGTCTTAACTAGATGGGGAAACTGAGGGGCAGAGGAGTTATACCTTACCTCTGGTTGTCCGGTTAGGTGGAGGATGGCCTTTAACGCCCAGGCTGTCTACTCTAGAGCCTCTGGCCTAATCACTGTGATAGCCTGTCTCCCTGACAGAAAAGCATATGGTGTGAGAGAGAGGGGTGGACAGCATGACCAGAGAGCGAGCTGGGATCCCTGTCTTAGCCAAGGACGGATTCTGAAAGAACGCTGAAGCCTAGGCTCGCCATGTCCTCTAGGTGGCGACAGCCTCCATAACTGGGAATTGAGGAGGCAGTGAGACTGCCTAGGATGGTGGGGTTTTTTTGTTTTTGTTTTTAAGGGGAAAAGCTCAGTTGGTAAAGAATCCACCTGCAACGCAGGAGACCCCAGTTAGATTCCTGGGTCAGGAAGATCTGCTGGAGAAGGGATAGGCTACCCACTCCAGTATTCTTGGACTTCCCTTATGGCTTAGCTGGTAAAGAATCCACCTGCAATGTGGGAGACCCGGGTTCGATCCCTGGGTTGGGAAGATCCCCTGGAGAAGGGAAAGGCCACCCACTCCAGTATTCTGGCCTGGAGAGTTCCACAGACTGCACAGTCCATGGGGTCGCAAAGAGTCAGACACGACTGAGTGACTTTCACTTTCACTCTATAATTGTGTTAACCAACAGAAGGTAGGAAGAGGTGCCTTAAAATATTCTATGTAATACTTTAGTATCATAATAACAGATCCAATAGATCCTAGTGATCTACCACCCAAAGCTGCATTTGCTCTGGGTCCTATGGGCAGAAGTGAAGTGGAAGTCGTTCAGTCATGTCCGACTCTTTGCGACCCCGGGGACTATACAGCCTGTGGAACTCTCCAGGCCAGAATACTGGAGTGGGTAGCCTTTCCCTTCTCCAGGGGATCTTCCCAACCCAGGGATTGAACCCAGGTCTCCCGCATTGCAGATGAATTCTTTACCAGCTGAGCCACAAGGGAAGCCCACTGCAAGCACGGAACCGCCACATAAAGAGAACTCCCAACTCAGTGTTCTTTCCTTAAAGAATAACTGTTTTTTAAAACTGGCCAGTTTTAATCCTGTATGTAAATACCCTCAGATTTGAATACTGCAAAGCCAATAAACTTCAGCCTTACATTGCGATACTCTTAATGGGAGTCTATCATTCACACCTAGTTAAAAAATATTTAAATCTGTACTTCTATTTATCATCATCATTGGGCTGCCCAGGTGGTGCTAGAGGTAAAAGAACCCACCTACCAATGCAGGAGACATAAGAGATGTGGGTTCAATATCTGGGTCGGAAAGATCCCCTGGAGGAGGGCATGGCAACCCACTCCAGTATTCTTGCCTGGAGAATCCCAAGGACAGAGAAGTCTGGAGGGCTACAGTCCATGTGGTCACAAACAGTCAGATATGACTGAAGCAATTTAGCACAGCACATCATCATCGTTTATAAAACTATTCAAGTGTAACTAGTTTTTTTTTTTAGAAACAAGACAAAGCACTTGATTTATGAATGAACTTAAACCCTCAAAGTTAGTAAGGAAGCCATTTGTTTGGAATCACACATATTTTCCTTTGTAGTAGTTGGTGGCCAGATTCACAAGGACAGTCCACAAAAATCTAGGAATTCTCTACTGTGGCTCCAATGTTTACATTCGTAATGGAAACAAGTTGAAGATGAATACTAATGTAATGCTAGTAAAGGAAAGTACTTAAAATACAAGAGAAAAGGATTGGACACCTGAGCTTTCGAGTTCTCAGGGAGGAGGAAGCTTGTGAGTTAAAGTCAGGTCCTACAGTTTCATGCCTGGAAGCTAGACCGGGCTACTGAAGTGGAACAGCTGGGTTACTAACCAGCTCAAGGACATCTATGAGGGATGCTAATAAAAGCACTGTTCTTATCACAGATATTCACTTATTTGGCCTTTAACACCACTGTGATTTTACTCCTAAAGGAACTATGACTAAGAAAAATACTGATACCTCACTGCATGTCCGTTTTTAAGAGCTAAGGGGGGAAAGCATTCATGACCAGTTAACCCTTGTGCCTCAGGAAGCGTAAACTGTGGCCCTTCTGCTCACAATTTGGTGGATGACCATGAATCTCAGTCTCTTCAATTCTTTGAGCTGGCTCCAAGCCTCTCAGTTTTGAAAGGTAAGGAGTGAGCAAATGTGATTGAAATTGATCAATAAAAAATGAGACTATTTAAGTTAATCACGGGAAGTTGCTCTTACCCAGTAACTGTTTTGGCTTCGGTTCCCCCAATTCAAATTCACACCCAGGTTGGACAGAGTTTACTGAGTCCTTGCTCCAAGGTACTGCCTCCGCTTCACTAATGACCTTGGGCTGGTGAGAAATACCTGAGCATGTTCTCTTGCTTACCCATCAGGCGAAAACCTTCATTTTTATTCCATCTTGAGTACTTATTATCATCAAGTTCTTCTGAGATATGCTTAACTGGGTCTCCACAGAATGCAAACATTAATATCAAGTACATTCTTAAAAACTTTATGAAGACTAAATTTCTCCGATATTTTTGGTAGGGGACAAATTTACTCATCAGCATAACTTCTTAGAGGAAATGAATGGGTGGGGTGCACTAACAGTTGAGATATTTAGGGAAGTTCTTAATTTCTCTAAATGGTGGGTGATTGGAACCCTTAGTACTGATTGGAAAGAATTAATGACTATCCTTCCAATCTAGAATAAGTGATGGCTCATTTGACTAGCAGACATTATTTTTACCAGCTCCTCAATTATTGTTATTAGTGCTTTTTCTTCAGCAGTGAGACTGGCCTAAATATTTTTCATCTTGCTGGAAGGGGATTACAAAAAGTCTAGACATATCTGAATTTTTAAATAAAATAAGACAAGCACCAAAGAAAAATGGTCAGTGGAGTGTTGGCATCTTAATCCAACTTCATGGTCAGTTTAATCTACAGAGTTTTAAGGGTCTCAGACTTCCGTGTTTCTGTTCTCTATCTTCTAGTCTACTCACTTATAAAATTCTTGTGTAAAGGTCAAGAGCAGTGATTTTAGCGTGCCACCATGTGTGAGTTTAGACTGAAAAGGCCCAGGTGAACTGGTTCTGGTGTGAATGATCAAGTGACCTCCGCTAACCTATCTGACACCAGCTCGCTGATTTGTGGCCATGAGAAAATAATACAGGGGTTTCGTCCTTGCAGAGGCTAAAATATACCAGAAGCTAGAGGGCGTGGATGCTCGTCTCCTGTCCTCTGCCTCTGGGGACGCGGTCACTCTTCAGGACAAGGAAGTTGCGGAGCTGATTGGCCTTCAGTGTTACCATAGATAAGCCTCACAGAAGGTGCCCAAAGAGAACACAAAACCCAGGGCAAGTGTTGAAAGGGCAAAGGAAGGCCCTATGTAAAAAACTGACCATTCAGAGCTGGTTACAATTCTAGCTCTTCCAATTGTACTTCCTGCTTCGAAGACACACGTGCAGAGCACACCTCGAGGTCCTTGGTCATGTAAGCACGTGGGAGTTGTTCTCTGAATAAGAGAGTGGGGAGACCAAGGCAGTCACCTTCCCCCAACCAGCCCCTGGTGGTGGTAGGGCCGCCTACCGCCTACCTACCATGAAACAGAAGTCAGGGCCCCTGTAGACAAGCCCAGTTCACCCATCATCAGTACCTGCTCATGATGTAGTACGTGGTCTCTGCCTGGCTGTCTGGGGTGTGGGGCAGAGGCTGTACTGGGGGAGCCCTTCCCCTGGGCAAGGAAGAATAATACCTCCCATTTCAAAACAACCAAACAATAAACACATTAGTGACTAGGCAATGTTGTGGCAGCAATAGATTAATAAGAACAGGGCAAAATCAATGTTATTTGTCATTCTCTTGGGATAAAATTATAATAGGGGGAATACACAATGGGTTTCTCAAAGTAATCACATTTATAGTGACATCTTGTAATCGCTCTGCTGCATTCTGCTTCTCGCTTCTATTTGGAAACCACTGCATTTGTTGGAGGAAAATCATGACTGTTTTCAGCATGCTGCTTTATCTGTTCTCTGTGTCGGGAGTCGCTTTTTTTAAAATAGACAGAGAGCCAGAGACAGCGCGTCGCAGGATGGCTCCTTCCCATGTGCCCACCTCTCCATCCAGGGAAGCCCCAGCAACACGTTCAGGACAACGTTGACAGGAATGTTGCCAATTTCATTTTCCAGAGGAGGAAATGGAAGCACCAAGCCTTTAAAACATTGAGTTTACGTCTGGCCCTGACGCTCAAGGCTTTGGGATCTGTATCTCGTGGTTCTGACCTTGCTTTGAAGCCAGGGGAACCTCCCTTCACTAACAGAGGAGGTGATTCCATGTCTTTATTTCCCGAGTTTTCTTTTCAAGGTGAGTAACCCTCCAAACAGAGAAGAAATGCTTACAGACGGAGTTACCTGGGTCTTTGTAGATACTGAGTACACCCTTGAAGTAATGAGGTAAAAATCTTTCCAGTAAAAGCAGCACGTCTTCCAACTCTTCGAGAATCCCCACAAGCAGGAAGTTTTCATTCACGTTCAGCTTTGCTCTTTCAAGGGCCCACTCACCAGGCTCCCTTTATAGATAGAAAAATGATGTTTAAATCAAAGGTTGGTTTTCAAATGCAGCAACAACATGTTGAAAGTTTCTCCCTTCTCCTACCTGCCCCCCTTCACAAAAGTCCAAATCCTACTTCCTTCAGGGACCAGCCCAGATGCAGCATCTCCAGCCGTGGTCCAACTGGCCCCTGCCCTATCATCTCTCCTCTAGCGTCATGGCCCCTGCATAGTGACAGGCCTGGGGCTCTTGAGCTTAGTGAGCCCCAAATAAATGTTTATTATATGGGCCCAGGCAGCTAGACATCAACAAACACTGATTAGAATGGCTTATTTATTTATTGGTCACACTGCACAGCATGTGGGATCTTAGTTCCCTCACCAGGGATTGAACCCATGCCTCCTGCATTGGAAGCACAGAGTCTTAACCACTGAACCACCGGGGAAGTCCCTGGAATGACTTTTTAATAGAAGGATCAAACAGAATCCATAAAGTGAGAAGTTTAGACACGGGAAACTTACTGATAATGATTTCTGTAGAAATCAAAACAGGTGTTGGGTCATGACTGCTAATCATCTTACTCTTTTGAGAAATTTAAAGACAACTTTTAAAAGTATTATTACAGAAGGGAAACAGCCTAATTTGTATTTGTAAGGCAAATCTCTGAGCCGACAACCCTGTAAGGAGCCCAGCCTGCAGATCACAGGAACTAGGCTCCAGGCCTAGCTGGTTTTTACCGTCTGGGGGAACTTGGGAAGCCAGGATTATTTTTTGAAAAATTTTAAATAATCCTTATTTAGCTCAAATAATTGTTGTCAAGGTGGGAAAAGGTGACATTTTGAAAGTGTTCTGATAATCATCACGCATGGACCCAGATAAAGTCTAAGTCCTCACTCCAAGACTGGGAAATATACAGTTTAAAAAGTACTTTAAGGAGTTACAATCATGTTTCTCTGAATAAATATGTTCATTGTGTCAGAAAGGGAGACATTGGGCCCCAAATCTTCCCAGGATCTGAAGCCGTGACCCTGAAGCAGAAGGCATGTATTACAGAGCGGAGGGTAGGTGAGGGAGGCCTCCTGAAGTCAGGAGTTTATGATGAAGCTGACACGTCTAGCCCCAGAATTCTGACCATAAACAAAGTGGTAAATTCAGCAAAACGTCGGTAATAACTAAGTAGCAATCACAGTGTCAGCAAAAAGTACAATGAATAAATAAACTGCAACTTGATACAGCTGTATGTTCCCTGCTCCCAACCCCCAGTCTCTTTAGACCTTCTAATCAATGACCTTCTAATTACCTCTCCTTTGGAGGGAAATGTCACTTCTGGCATCTGGGTTCATTTTCCACCAAGCAAAGATAATATTCATCATTACCACCATTTCTTCCGGAGGCGACACACGTCTAGAGTACAGTGAGTTTCCAGTGTAGCTGGATCAGAACCAGCTGGAGAGGGGGTCATAGTAGCCTGGACCTCAACTCAGAGACTGGGATTAGGTGGGGATTCCCAAGAAGTTCCCCAGGGATGCAGGTGGGTAGACCACATAAAGTGTCTGAATAAGTCACCTTATAGAGAAGGGTCTGGCATCCAAATAAGGCTGAGGAGTGATCACTAAAAGTACTTTCTTCTTCGCTAAGTGTCTCAGGAGAGAGACACTCTGGAATTTTCCAAGTGAGCATCCCTGTTTCGACCCAGTTAGACACACCACACTTGCAAGGACACCCATCGATGAAGCTCTCACTGCAGAGAAGCAGGCTGGCTGCACCCCCATGGGTTCTACTATCTCACGAGCTGGGTAGTGACAGGTGTATGTTAAGAAGGAAGAAGAGTTTGATTGGCATTTCAGTTACACAGCTTTAGGGGTGGTCCCCAAGATCCTCTCCAGACCTTGCTTTCTTAATTTCCTTATTTATGAGACATTCAGACTCTCAAATGTGATCTTGAGAGATTCGCAATAAATATGAACTGACTTCCAGAAGGCAAGGAGACTGGGGACACAGAAGGTGCCTGAGAAGTGCCAGCTGGTGGGTTTCCCACCATCATGGTCCACGTAAGCATGTCATGAGCCTGTTTCAGTCTTTACCTGCATCTGGGGTGCTGTCCACAGAAATACGGAATGATGTAAAATAACCTGGGGTTGGAACACTCGGGGTAGTTTTCAAGAATACACTCATTGATGTCCTAGAAGAGAAAACACGGCAGTGAGATGGCTGGTGGTCTCTGCAGGGCTCTGACAAGTGTCAAGAGGGTAAGTAAAATTGATACTTAAATGACATGGGGAAGCTTTGAGAAGATGTAGAAAACTGATGGATTTCATGAGAAGATTTTTTTTTTGCCTCACACCAGCCTGCTCCACTGGGCAGGTGCACACATGGTCAGAGTATTTCAGAGAGTGTTTGTCCTGTTGAGTTAACTGAAGTTTTGTGTTTCCCCATGGCCTGAAGTCTCTGCCTGGATCACAAGCATCTTGGAGCAGTCCTGCTGGCTGTGGCTAGCTGTGGCCCCAGCAGTTATGAGAAACTGGGAAGTATATAGTGGGCATTTAACAAATATTTGTTGAATGGATTCAGTATGACTTAATTCTTAGTTCATCCAGACTTCATCAGAGAGCCCTATACAGCCAACCCTGTAGAAAAGTGTTTCCCTGTGTATCCACATGTCCAAGAAATACTTGTTGTTATTCACTTGCTAAGTCGTGTCCGACTCTTTGCAGCCCCTGATCCCTTGGACTGTAGCCCACCAGGCTCCTCTGTCCATGGAATTTCCCGGGCAAGAATACTGGAGTGGGTTGCTATTTCCTTCTCTGGGGGATCTTCCCCACCCAGGGACTGAATCTACATCTCCTGCTTGGCAAGCGGATTCTTTACCACTACATGGGAAGCCCATAACAAATACTTAAGTATTGAACATAGTCACATAAAGAGTTTGTAAATTTTGGAGGGGCTGTAAAACCATTTCTAATGTTATATTAGGTTAGAAAGTGGCCGGATGTTTGCCTACAGACATTCTCTCACTTTCAAAGGCAACAGTTGTGATTTCCAGATAGCAAATTTGTAATTTCCGGACAGAAAATTTCTTTTCTACGAGGCTGAACGTGGGGTCTTAGTCAGCATTACTGGAGCTTACAGTGGCTTGATGGGGGATGAAAAAGAGGGCTAAAAATCCACTTTCATTAAGGCAGATTAAATTGGATACCCCAGATAAGACATGTCTGGTTCTTAGGTATTTCTAAGGAGAAAAGATAACCCAATTTACAAACAAACCAAACAGCTGTGGGATGCTTTTCAGAAACATTACTGGCAAGGTGGATTAAGAGTGGTCCCATGGCCAAAGGAGTTTATAATAAGTCAGTTGAAGCCACTGAATCTGATATGATTTGTGTAAGTGGTTAGTTATTAAAAAATTTTTTTTAGTTCAACTTTGTAGTTGGAAAAACATAACTTAAATGTCTTTTTTTCTTTTTTCTTTTTAGAACAACCTTTCCCCCCTCATGCTTCTTTAGTTTATGTAAAAATTAAATAAATTACACAATTACTATAACGAATTCAACTGGAAGAAAGAGATTCAGCAAACATGGTCCCACGGTCAGTGGAGTTTACAAGTCAGTTGAAGCCACTGAATCTGATGTGATTTGTGTAAATGGTTAGTTATTTTAAAAAATTTTTTAAATTCAAGTTGGTGGTTAGAAAAACATAACTTAAACATCATTTTTTTTTTTAGGACAAGCTTTTCTCCTTCATGCTTCTTTGGTTTATATAACAATTAAATAAAGTGCACAATCCAACTGGAATAAAGAGATTCAGCAAAAAACAGACTGTAGTTAAACACTTGGGCCTATCGTGGGAAGCAGAGGTGTGTAGTTCCTGGAGAGGAATATACTAGAAGCAAACGGAACAGTGAACACCAGCGCATCCAGCCACGCGTGACGTGAAGGGTGGCTAAGAGCACCTCATTGTGAATGAAAGTCCATTAAAAATGCAGGATGTTAGACCCAAAATACCTTTCTAGGAAGAATTTGACACAGAGAGATGTATGTATAAGACTATTCATTGCTATAAGATTTATGACAACAAAATATGGCCGAGAGCTCACAGTTCATTAATGGGGGATTGATTCACTTCTGGTGCCTTCCTACCAGGAAACACACACGGGGCACCGAGAAAGGAGGAGGATCTACATACACTGTCCTGAAAACTGTTCAGGATGTTTGTAGATGAAACAAAGTCGGTTGTAGGGCAATATGAACATGTAGGACAACATAAAAATAAACTTACGTGTTTACAAAAGGACACAAATATCTGGAAGGATAAACACCAAACTGTTCAAAGAAGTTATTTATGAAAGTAGATGTAATGGAAGGTGGCAATATATTTAACTTTTACTTTGATTCATTTTTGAAATGTTAGCTTTTATTGTAATGTATGTATTTTAGTTTTATCATCAGAAAAGTTTGAGAGCTACACATTGAAAAGGGCTTCCCTGGTTGCTTAGTGGTAAAGAATCTGCCTGCCAATGCAGGAGACCTAAGATACTTGGGTGTGATCCCTGGGTTGGGAAGATTTTCTGGAGGGGGAAATGGCAACCCACTCTGGTATTCTTGCCTGGGAAATCCCATGGACAGAGAAATCTGGTGGGCTACACCACATGGGATTGCAAAGAATCAGACACAACTTAGCAACTAAACAACAAACACTTTGGAAAACAAACTAAAACTTGTGTAGGCTAGTGACTGGGCTTTGCTTTGAGGATGCTCACCCTCCAGGTACCCTCCGGCAGCTGGCATCCCCCAGGGACCTAAGCCTCAGGTCAGAGCGCCCAGTAACTGGGCTGGGGTCACAGGGAGGGAGCCTGGAGCTGGGCGAGAAGCAGGGCACAGCACACACCAGCCAGGGCCGTCATCATCAGAGACAGAGGCTCTGTCCTCTGAGGTTGAGATTTCACAGCAACGGCTGAGTAATGCGATGGTGATTTAGGGGGTGTCCAGAGATCCTGCCCATACACAGTCAGCCCCCCAGAGACCTGCATTAACATGAGGGGTGGGGCAACAGAGCCCACCAAAGCCTCCCACAGAAACTTCCACAGCACCTGCGCTCCTCCGAGTTCACTTTCCAGTTGCCTTTTAATAAGAACTTGTGTAATTGTTTGTTTAGGTGGTGAGTCCAGGAGAGCACAGATGTCTGTTCGCTGCCTCTCCAGCGCTTAGCACCCTGCCTGGAAAAAGCGGGGCTGCAATAAATACTCAGCGAATGAATGGACAAATGGCAGAGGGAATAAGCCAAGACATACAACCGCCATGCTGTCCCCAGAGATCCTGGCGCAGGAGCTCGCAGGAGCAGGCAGAGGACATCAGCTGGTGGGGGCCGGGAGGGCCAAGGACTGCAGGGACCTCGGAAGGGCTTTCCTCTATTGGAATCCACAAATAACCTCCCGAGGTCAATTTATGGGAAGACATAAATTCCGAGTTCAAGAATCGCTGTTAACCTTTCTTTCTTAGAGCAAGACATGTCCCGGGAGATTTCAAAGAGTTCCATTTGAGCCCATTATGTTGATGAATGGTGTTGGCCACAACCAGCTTATGGAAATGCTATAGGAGGGCATACATAAAAGATGACTCAGGTGTAAGGCCAAGCGGAAGCCAGAAACGAGCTGTGAAGACCCACGCACTTAGCTGCCTGCGGCTTAGCCACAGCGCCCAGTGGGGTTGCTTCCCGGCAGCTCAAGGACTTGTGGCCTCAGGAGGCGGGTCTTGGCCACTCACACAGTCCACTCTTCCTGGAACCCAGATCTTCAGTGAGTGACCTTTCAGTGTCCTGGGCCACCAACTGTGACAAGTGTCAGTATGGCTGTTTCTCCAGTAGCCTGTTCTGATGGGCACTGTCCAGCCCCCCTGGGGCCATCTGGTTTTCCCCCAGAGTTAAGCATTTTATCTTTGGTGTTAGGCTTTACTATCTTCTGTTGTTTTACAATCACTTTTGTTCTCTTCGTACATACATAGCTTAAAACGATTATGCAATTTCACTTTTTTCTTCCCATGTAGTGCTTCTAGGGCAAGGTTGCTTTAAATGAAAACCTTAATATATATTTTAAAATCTGCTCTAAGGTCATCATCATGGTGATGACTTGAGCCAAACTGGACCCCTTGCCAGTGCATGACCTATGATTTTCTCATCTGGTCCTTGGATCTCGGTATCTACCTCGGCAACCCACAAAACACTCTCCTGCCCATCTAGCTCACTTTTAAGATTGGGTATAAACATAAACCCCACACTCTGACCATATTCTCAATTTATTAGGGAAATGGAATATTTTGTATAAACACACTTTCCAGATAACTGAGTCCACTTAACTGCCAAAACTACAATAAAAGGGACCAATTTTGGTTGAAATTTATTCTAAACTATGCTATTTTTTAAAGTGTACACTTACACCCTCTAGGTTTTCTTTGTGGGTTCATCTTCCTTCACTTTGATCTTTTAGCAAAATCATCTTCTGTTGGTTTGCTCCTGTAACATTTCCACTGGCTGGACTGTGATGACTAACACTAAGTACCCAAGGCCCCACAGCACCCAACGGAAACCCGAGTCACTACCGCGGGATCTCTGAGGGTCCTCCCTGATTCCCCTCTCACCGTTACTCTCCACATCACTCAGCGGCCCCACCCTGCAACTTGACCCGTGAAAGGTTTCTTTTTTTTTTTCATTTATTTTTATTAGTTGGGAGGCTAATTACTTTACAATATTGTAGTGGTTTTTGTCATACATTGACATGAATCAGCCATGGATGAAAGGTTTCTTAATCTTCGTTCTCCCACCTGTTCCACACCTCAATCCCCGCTCAACTCACCTGCTGCTAGGTAATATCCCTTCCATTTCTTCTGCCCAAATGCACCCTGTACGGAGTTCCTGCACTAACTCAGCTGAAATACAAATTCATCCACATCAGGCCCCTGTTCAAAAACTTTGAAGAATTCTTATTGACAATGCAGTGGGAATAACAATCAGGTAGGGCACCTGTTAAAAATGTTAATTCCCAGACAGGCCTTCCAGAGTGCTTGATGTAAATGGGTTCTCCGGGGACCAGGCTAGAAATCTCCACTTTAAAGAAGAACCTCTGGGTGATTTTGAAAAGCTGGTTACTGTTCATGAGCAGCAACCTTGTGCCAGTAGGGAATTTCATGCCTG